TATTATTTTTATATTATTATATTTCACACCAAAATACCACCAATAGTCCTTCCACATTAGGGACACCCACCAAACATCACCAAATACACCCCCACCAAAGGACACACCAACGTATAATATTTAAAATAATTATAAAATGACTAAATAATTAAAATGGGTGTTACATATGTGATCTATCCGGGCTCCATAGAATGAACCAATGAGTCAGTACCGCATGCATGGTGTTGCGTTGCATAATTACATTACAGTGTATTGTGTGGATGGTGGACTATATGTCGTGATTGTTGAATGTTGGGTGATAAACTATGTGATTGGTGTATTTACTACCTCTATTTCATGTATGTATTTACCGATATATTTTGATCATGTTTTCTCACCCCTTTGTTGTTGTTGTGGCCTGTGCTTCCTCGGAAGTACAAATAATCCAGGTACTTAGCTAGCTTGGATTATGGTGTGTAAGTCGAGTCTTAGGATGATCTGATACGTAGCACGAGACTTGGGCGTTTAGTTGTTTTATGTTGTACTTGTTTTATTTTCCTGTGACGTATCATGACTTTGATGTATTTTATAAATGAACATTTTCCGCTGTTTTGTTGTGAAAACCTTCGAATGGAGAGTATGTTGAATTTAGTGATGTGATATCCCACTTGGGCGGTGGAAACTCTGATGTTTATTTATAATGTTTATATTTTATTTATTTTGGGAAGTGGGGTGTTACAATTGGTATCAGAGTAGGTTGGTCCGTCCGGCCAGTGTAGTTGAGTTGAGTCTGTCCTTAAGATAGAGTTTGTGTATCGTTTAACCTGGTGTTGTTATTGTTGAGCAGTATGGCAGGAAGGAATGATGCTGCTTTGGCTGCTGCTATGCAAGCGATGGCGCAAGCAGTTGCTAATCAGAACCAAGTTGCGGGTGCGCAATTTGGAGATTTGACGCAGTTTCGGAGCAACAAGCCGCCGACGTTTGAAGGAGGAATTTTGGACCCTGAAGCTGCACAGAAGTGGCTGAAGGCAATTGAAAAGATTTTCAGGACTATGAATTGCAGTGATGAGCAAAAGGTGAGGTTTGGTACTCACATGCTGGAAGGTGAAGCTGAGGCTTGGTGGGATAACAGTCGCCAGAGATGGGTGACTGCAGGGACTGCAATCACTTGGGATGTAGTTCGTAAGGGTTTTCTGGAGAAGTACTTTCCAGAAGATATTCGGAGTGCTAAGGAGATCGAGTTCTTGGAACTGAAGCAGAGTAATTTGACCGTAGCAGAATATGCTGCGAAATTTGAAGAGCTGGTGCAGTATTGTCCCCATTACAATACTGAAGATGCGATGACCTCTAAGTGTTTAAAATTTGAGAATGGACTGCGTCCGAAAGTTAAGCTGGGGATTGCTTGTTAGAAGATCAGGAACTATCCTGAGCTGGTAAGCAGGAGCAGAATCTATGACAATGATGACAGGGCCAGGATTGCGCATTATAAGGCTGCGAATGACCGTATGGGTAAGCAGAGGTTCAGTGGTACTCCTTACAGTGTTTCTGCTGATAAAGGAAAATATAAGGCTGCTACTAATAAGAAGCCCAGAGAAGGGAGCGTGTTTGCTGATGTGAAATGTTTCCGGTATGGTGGCACAGGGCATCGTGCTAAGGATTGTCCTAAGGAGGGAGTAAAGAAGTGTTTCAAGTGTGGTAAGTCAGGCCATATGATAGCTGATTGCAGAGCCACTATGCCGACCTGTTATAACTGTGATGAGAAAGGTCATATCAGTACGCATTGTGAGAAGCTGAAGAAGTCTCAGGCGTCTCCGGCTGGTGGTAAGGTGTTTGCTTTGGCAGGGACTCAAGCTGTCAGTGAAGAACGTGCTATCAAAGATACTTGTATTATCAATAATATTCCTTTGACTGCTATTATTGATACGGGTGCAACCCACTCGTTCATTTTTGTTGATTGTGTGAAAAGAATAGGATTGGTGTCGTCTACTCTTGAGGGATGAATGACTATTGAGACACCCTCTATTGGTTCAGTGACTACTTCTTTAGTGTGTTTGAAGTGTCCACTGACCATTTTCGGTAGAGAATTTGGAGTGGATCTGATTTGTCTACCACTTGGTAATTTGGATGTTATTCTGGGTATGAATTGGTTGGAGTTCAACCGAGTTTACATCGATTGTTTTTGGAAAGTGTTGTTGTTCCTTACTCCGGAAGAGGAAGCGTTGGCGAGTTCTTTATCCAATAAATAATTGAGGACCTTGTTGTAGGAAGTAAAAAGTTGAAGGAAGAGATAACACTAGAGATTTATAGGTCTTAAATAAGTGACAAACTCCTCTTTTGAAGAATTGATCTTGATAGTATCCAATAATTTTTAAGAGCTTTTAGAAGGTTAAGCCTATGAACCCCCTTATACAAAGAAAAATGAAGTTTCAGGTTTACTTTTAACAAAACAACAAATAGTGGAATGAATCGGTTAGTCTTCCATCCAAACAGCAAATGAGGCTTTTAGTGATTAGTCTTTCAGCTAATCAGAGATTCTATACAAACTTATCTCGAACCAAGATGGAGCTTTTAATTGGATATCCTCTGAAACTAACCGAGGTTTTATGTCGGGCTTCCCACAAACCAAACTAAGATTTTATATCGAGCTAATCTAGAACTGATTGAGCTTTTGTACAATGCTGAGCTCAAGAACCAATATGAAGATTTCACACTAGCTTTTCTTCATGAATCCAGAACGAGAGCTTTTCCTTAAGTGGTTGAACTCACAAACCAAATGGAGACTAATACTAATCCCCCAAAAATAGCTTTTAACAAGTTTAGCTCCAAACCTAAACAATTTCTTCCTAAGGAAAAATAATTCACTCCAAAGGAAAATGAACTATTGGTGAATTTACAATATACCCCTTCCATAACAACTTCCTCGATAAACACAAAATCATTTCTCAAAGTGCTATAGTTAAAAATATGTGATAGAAATCAATAGAGAGGAAGATGAGATATCTCATGTTTTATGAATTAAAAGAAATGAAGGGGAATGCCTATATTTATAGGCAAAAGGATGGTTCAAAAAAGAAAATAATCCATGGGGGAAATTAATTCACCTAATCGATTAGTTCCTAAGCCTAATTGATTAGGTACCACAAAGAATCGATCATTTAAGCCCAATTTAGAAATTTTGGATATAGATTTGCTACCAATCATTTAGGCAATTTCATAATCGTCTATGGATTTGTTTTTCCCTTATATATTCGATTAGGCACTTGGTATAATCGATTAGACAGTTCAAAAACTTACCCTAATCAATCTAACATTTCCCAAACCATCTAGCTACGCAAAAAAAAATATTTTAGGTGATTTTATTTGAAAAATAGAGGCTTCAAAAATAGTTGTAGTGAGTGTGTGATTTAGCCATGATATTTTACGAAAACGCCCTTGTATTTTTACAATGCTCTGATGACTTAGACAAACATAATCATGCGAGCTTTCTTACTTCCTCTCTTTTACACTCTGAAGATTCAAGTCCTTTTGCTCGATATACCAATTATATGACCACTTCACTTGAATCTTCTTGTGGATTATACTTGAGGTATCTTCTACTCAGATGTAATTATCAGAGGATATCATTGGTGATCATAAAACCCTAATTTTTAGCTTTATTCAGAGGAGTAACTTAATCAACTATCGTATGCATCTTTGACCGCTTGAATCGGTTTTAACACTTGTCATCAAAGTCACTTTAAAGGATGTTACATCTTTAGGTGTTGTCATCATGAAAACCATGACGTTATCAGGGCTAGACATATCTTTCTTATCTATGAGCTTTGAACATTCCTGATAAAACATGTAAGCACATAGTTCCACAGGTTCGAGATAAGCGCTTGTAAAATCTCATTTTGGTTTGAGATCATCCCGTATAAAATCTCAGCTCGGTTCAGAGCTTAGTTTGTGTTAAACCCCATCTTAGTTTAGAGGATAGACAATATAAAACTCCATCTCGAATCAGAGGTTAGTTGTACGAAATTTGTAGTCTGGTTAGGAAGATAGCCGGTATAAAACTCCATACGATTAAGAGGATAATTAGCAAAAACTCTAAATTTGGTTGGAAGTTAGTTATTAAACTTCAAATCCTTGTAAAAAGAGGTTCGTGGGAATATCCTATTAAAAGCTCTCAAAATAATAGAAACTCTCAAGAAAAATTATTGAGAAAAAGATAATATCATCTTCATTCAGACCGAATCTCATAATTTCTTGGCGTCTTTCCCTTTCCCTAATCTCTTTTACTTTTAAGTTATTTTCTTTCCTTTATTTTTTCATTTGTTTCTCTACTCCACTCCTTATTTGTTTGTTTGTTTTACAAATAATTTTAAAGTCTAATTTTTAAATTTTTTTTAATGTTAATCAAAACATTTCAAACCACTACAATTCACTTTTCTTAAAATCTCTGGTCCAACAAGAGATATTTCCTCTCCTACGTCACACAAGGCCTGATGAGCATTATCTGTTTTGGATTGCATGAAAAATGTTTTTCAGTTTATATATAATTTATACTGTATGTTCACATTTAACCAAAACAAAGAATAAAAGAAATTCATATAATGAAATCCCAAAACACAATGAAGTAGTTATACGATACAAGTAAGATAAATAAAGCAAATTAATAGGTATAAACAATATCTATTTTACTCTAATACCAATTTACAAAAGTCATCGATACACTTATGCATGCTCATGCGCCACACATATATTTAAAAGTAATGTTGTATAGCTTTGTATTGTTGTTGTTAGTTCTATTTAATCTAGAGATATAAAATAGGTCAAAAGTGTGTTGCTTTCTTACTATGCTTGGTATCGAAATTAAGATTATTCTTATTTAATAGAATAGTCAGATTATATAATCATTAGATGAGGGTAGAAATCTTTCATCATACTAATTAAAAAGAACAACTAATAAAATTATCTTTATTGCAATAAAATTATAAGTTTTTATTATTTTTTATTTATATTTTTACTTATGTGATGGTTTAATTCACTAATCCACTAGTAAACGGTATTCCTGTTGAAGGTAACCATTGATCTCCTAAAATAAAGTTGGCCACGGTGAAGTTACTAGCCTGATTAAAACTCAACAAATGATAACCTGACCATTTCACTCGATTTTTCGTGTCAGCTCCTTGTCCATAATTCATATATTCGGCAAAAAATAATGTATCTAAATATTCAGGAGCACCTTCCCACTCTAACCACCCTTTCGGACTCAAGACATTACTTATATTTGATTGCATGAAAATTGTTCTAGCATTTGGCTTCCATGGTCTACCAAGAAATGTTGAGGTTGAATTAATTAAGGGTAAAAGATCATAGTCCGCTAGTATGTTGCAAAATTGAAAGGAAAATCCACTTGATACTCCAAGATATCCTCCTTGAGCAGTGATTGTGTTTTGTTGTCCATTTAACCCTTTTTTTACTAGTATTGTACAATTTTGAAACACTACGGTAGCATATCCAAAGATAAAGTCGAGAGTGCCACTAATTTTGCATTCTCTATAAAATTGACGATTTGTGTTGACACATAGACTATCTTGATAACCAGAAATCTCAACTCTGTAAAAGATAGAGAAGTCGGAGTCAGATTTGAGCGCCACTGCTTGGTAATTTTCTGGACCGGCAGTGTTCCAAATAGAAATATCTTGTGCTATGAATCTTGGACCACTCACAGCTTCATGAAACAAATAAAAATTTTGTTACATGTTTCCAAAATAAAATTGAAGAGAGATAATGAAAAGGTTATAGGACTTACCAAAGGTAGCTGAGTCATAAGTACATTCACTTGATGTATTTTGACTGCAACTCATGTTACCGGTTATGACTGTGGCACCCATACCCTCTCCAATCATAGTGAGATTCCACTTTTTCTCATCGATAAAAACTTTCTCTACGTAAATTCCTTTCTTTATAGATATTACATAACGTGTCATGCTATTATCAGGTGCTGCATTTATAGCTTCCATCACTGTAGTATAGTTTCCGCTTCCATCAGCAGCAACTGTCACATTAGCTATAACCTCTCCACTAGTAATCTCTACAACAAATGTGAGGAATGCAATTAACAAGGTTAAAGTGTAGAACATAGTTGTATAAGAATGAGACATAGTATTTTGGCATTTGAATCAAATTTATTGCACTGATATATAAAAGATTAATTTAGACTTATATATATTTTGGCATGTCATATTCAAAATGGGATTTGGTTAAACGTTCTATATAAGATAAATTTCTTTAAAAAACATTTTTTGTGCATAATATACATCTGAAAATACCTTCTTATATTGATTAAGGGAATGATTTCTTTTTTGTTTTTGGACACTTCTTATACTTTGTGCATACTTTTTTATTGGTATTGATTTTCCCTTTTTAATATATTATATTTACCATTAAAAAAAATTACTATTATACATTTCAAATTCGTTTCACAATATTGCTAAAATTACTATAAAAGATAAAAATCATAAAATAAAATAAAAAAATTTTTTGTCCATATATATAAATATATATTATATAAGTGGTCATATTATTTACAAAAATTATTTATTTTTAAAAAGTATTTATATTATTAAGTTTACATTTAAATTTTTAGTTGCACACAAATGTAAGACTTACTATATAAGATAAAATTCATGATTTAATACTCTTTTTGGTTTTGAATGTTAATTTATAATTTATTTTAGTCTCTTAACTAAAAAAATATTCATATTAGTTCCTTAATTGTTTAAAATGTATTATGTTAATCTTTTTTGTCTAATTAACAATGAAGTCGTTAATTAGATAAAAATGACTAATATAATTAAATCTATTTATTATATTACGTTTGCATTTAAAATTTTAGTTGCACAATAATATAAGACTTACTATATGAGATAAAATTCATAAAAATAATTGGTTCATACTGAAGATTTCTTTTATATCATTCTCGTATATTAAAAATGAAAATAGGAGATACGAGATGTGTGGGTGTGTGTCGTGGGAGCCTATCCTGTTAAAGAAAAAAAAATAGGCATTTCTAATTTGTTCTTGATTAAATTCTTCGTAATTACAATGGGTGGGGTGTTCCCCAAGTAAAATCCAAATAGAGAAAGTTCAATATTAACAAGAGTGTCAGCCCGTTAATTCTCTTTTCGAAAGATGTGAGTGATCATGAAGTGTATTGATTTAAATAGAGTTATGTAGTTGCTCAATCTTTTATGAAGCTGCCAAGTAATAATTTAAGGATTCTTGTAGGCAAGATATCAATTTTTGAGACAGTTTCAATTCATAACAAGTTCCAATTTTTAGCATTGGCATTTTCAATGGCAATGATAATGCCCATTAGCCCTGCACATAAAAGTTATGATCACCAAGTTGGGAAGCAATACATCCATCATTATTAGTTCTGAAAAGGTCAGCACAAGCTTATGCGTCATGGTTACCGAGAGTTTAGTTATATGTTTTGCACTTGATCCACAAAGAAATTAGAGGCATTAAAATACATCCTTGATTTGAGGATCTTTAGGATGATGAGTCTGCATGTTGAAGGCTTTAAGGATTGATTAGTTAACTATAGAGGGACTAGTTTCTAAAGCAGTAGAATTTCCTACAGTTGAAACTGATGCAATGAGGTTGGATATCAGAGAATTCTGAGATGGTTGAAATTTTTTTAATCTCATGTTATTCTTACAAAACCAAATAATTTGAATGTTGTAATGATTATAACACAAATCACTAAAGAGCATTGGGGACTCCACCCTTTTTTGTAGACATCAAGCATACAAGTAAAAGATATGAAACTAATGGCATGATTGGTGATATTGTGGAACCAGGTTTAAAGTTTGATTGGAAAATGGCAAGAAATAAATAGGTGTTTGGCAGTCTCAGCTGATTTTTTAAAGAGAGTGCGCATTGAGCGAAGGTTACAACCTCTAAGTGTTAAGTTATTCATCAATAGGCATCTTTTTATAGAATGTGCTCCAAACCAAAGTGGAATGTGAAAGAGAAATTTGAGTGTTACAAATATATTTGGCCCAATCTTTAGACTGTGGGACTACATATGAAGGAGTATGCATCTTGAAGGGAGAGCATACCTGATGTTAAATGGTTCCATACCAACTTGTCTTCTTTTTTTTCAAGCCAATTATATTTTTGGTAATATAACCAAGAACTGTATGAAACAAATTTTGTAATTCTAATGGTATAGCCCATTCAAAGTTGAAGATTGAATAAGTCTCTAAGAACTCCAACATCAGACCAGTTGTGTGTCCAAAAGTTGATCCTACAACCATTGCCAATGATCCATTTGGAACTTGACATGAGAGTTTGAAATTGAAGTTTGATGCCACTCTAAATGGATGAAAACATGTACTACTTAATGCATGAGTTGTCCCTAATTAAACTACTTCTACAGAATATTGCACACTGGTTGTTAGAGTTAAACATCTACCAACATAATATGAGTTTAGAAGCATCATTGAGGTGAATGAGAGACCAAGCCCATACCACCAATAAATATAAGAGAGCAAACTATTTTCCATGCAACTATGACTAGTTTCTTGGAGTTCAAGTCATCACTCCATGCAAAGTTTTTGAAAATTGTCTCTAGCTCCTTCAACAAAGATTTAGGCTAGGAACAAATGGTTAAGGAGTAAACAAGCATGTTGTGAAGAACACTTTCGGTAAGTTGTATTCTTTGGGAAAAGGATAGTAAGGAAGCTTTCCAATTAGCCAACTTGATTTTGATCTTCTAAATGATTGGTTGGAAATTACCTCTCATTGCCTTGCCTTTGAAAATTGGAACACCTAAATATAGAAAATGCAAAGTGCAAATGTTGAAGCCAAGTGATGAGACTATATGAAACAGCCTAGCTTTATGAAATCTATCCTTCATAAATAGGGTATTTTTTAGGGTTAATGATCTAACCAGATATTTTAGCATGTCTAGCAAATAACTTGGATAACACTTTAATATTCTTGGATGAATAAGTGAAAAGTAACATTATTACATATGAATATAAGGAGTGAGAAGGGATGTGTTGGTTCCTCGTTCCTTTGATTAGCTTGAGATGATTACTTTTAACTAGGTGAGAAAGACACTTAATTAAAATTTCTTTTTCTGCAAGAAAAAAAGTAGGAGTGATAAAGGGTCACCATGCCTCACTCCTAGAATAGGATAAAAATCTTTAAACTTTCCATTTATAGAGATAAGAGCTTAGTAGAGTTCTGGATATTTTGGATCCAATTGCAAAGTTTTGTGCAGAAGTCAAAAATTTTTAGGACCTTAATATGGGACTGTGTCGTACACTAATTTTTGAACCTAAGATCCCATCTCTTTGTGTGTTGCCTCGCATAACATCTTTAGGTCATGCGGTCTTTGTGTGCATGCTTATTATTACTAATAGGTTTGTGCAGGAATATTTGATTTCAAGTGGAGATAATTTTCTTTCTCACAGTCAATTACATCAAGGTGTAATTAAGGGATCCGAATTCATAGGATTTGAGCATATTCATCAAGACATCTGCAAAGGATCCATAGGCTACTTCCATCAGCGTATGACTATGGGATATTGAGACATGGCAACAGCCAGTGCTAGAACAAGATTCAAAAGCCACACATCGACTCGTGTAACTTTTTTCCACCAGAATCCAGTGCGAAGAATACCCCATTTGTGTCACGACTAACTGCTATGAACTTGTTTCAAGTTGGCAAGACGGGAGATTAGGCCATGTTAATGTCCTGAAGTTGTTGGTTCATGAGTATACCCCTTTTAGTGAAGTAATCGCTGGCTACCCGCCGAACAACACGCAATCCACTATCGAGTGAGGTATTTAAGACACTTTGATTAGTGTTTGGTAAGGAAGGTATCTGTGTTGTCGAGTTTGATTAAGTTGAAGATGTCTCGTTGCGGTCAATGAGAAAGGTGTTGGCTAGAGAACAATCCTTGGTGGTTCCAAATGAAAAAAGAATAGTGACCGAACCTCACATTGTTGGACAGTTTGGACGTAACATCGGTTGAGTTACTGCTTTTGTGTTGAAGGACAGCAACAATCACAGTCAGCAGCAGTTTGTTTTGAGTATTGCCAAAGACATGGTTTAACTTGCTATTCTTTTTGGTGCATTATATATATATATATATATATATATATATATATATATATATATATATATATATATATATATATATATATATATATATATATATATATATATATATATATATATATATATATATATATATATATATATATATATATATATATATATATATATATATATGCAATTTTTGGATTTTTGCTTAATTAGTATTAAGTTCTTCTCTTTGAACTTGGTGCCATTTTAGGAGAAGCAAAGTTATAACAATTGTTTTTCTTTTACGGAATGGAATGATCAAATTAATCCATAGTGCCTTACAAAACAATTCACACTGATTCTCAGCCAAAAGAAAAACCATACAAACAATTATAGACCTTATACCATACAATTCAAAGAAATTGTGCTTGAGAGCAGCTTCGAGCATCATAATGTGACTGTTTCATTATTTCCAACTCATGATAGAAAAAGAAGGAGGTCCCTAACAGGAAAAGAAGATACATAGCAGTGACACAGGGAGTACACAATCAAATTTTGCAGGCTAGAAAAATCCAATAGTAGTATACGCAAAGTCAGTTTAGAAAATTCATCATAGGCTCATATTAAAAAATTTCTCTCTGCCATCAAGTATACTTCCATCTCCATGTGCAGAATAACCACTCTCAATCTCTTTCCAGTACGACTTCGACATTCCGTCGCGGATTAACATCGTTTTCCACCACCTGCAAAACTCAATAACTTTAAGCACGTGTTTCCCTTTGGTATTCTTACGTGTATGAAGTGGTACCTTTCGCCGCTATTAACCTGACAAGTCGAAGAAATGAGAATCAAACCTTGGCAATTTTGAAAAATTAGGTTCCAGGAGTTAACTGCAGAAAAGTTAGGAAAGGCTGGTATCGTTAAAGAGAAAGAATTTGGAACGACTAAAGACCGGATGATGTACATTGAGCATTGTGCTAATTCAAGGGTTGTAACAATATTCATTCATAGAGGTAACAAAATGATCATTGAAGT